TCGTACAACCTGGACAAGAGTTCGACGCGAATGCTGATTAGCTCTAGGTTAAAAGGGCGGGCTCTATCGTGGTTCTACTCACGTGCCGAATATCTCACGTTGGGTACGGAAGACCTGTTGATAAAGATGGGGCAAATGTTTGGCCTTCAACCCGGCAAATTGGCCCTCAGAAAAGAATTCGGGTCACGAGTGTGGAAGAAGGGCGAATCGTTTTGCGAATACTATCACGACAAAATGATTCTGGCCAACCGCATACCAGTTGCGGAAAACGAATTCTCGATTATCTTATCGAGGGTGTGACAGACGTACGACTGAGGAATCAGGCCTATTTAATGAACTACACAACCGGAGCTGAGCTGTTAAAAGCTTTTGAAAAAGTTCGACCAGCAGACGAGAGATCGGGCAACGTCAGGACCGGGAAGGCCGCGGCAGGGGTGGCGAGCGGCAGGAAAGCGGAAACAGCGGCGAGAGAAAGGACGGTGAAATGTTACCGGTGTCGTGAAGTGGGGCACGTCGCGGCACAGTGTAGGCAGGCGCCCGCGAAAAGAACGTGTTATGTGTGTGGATCTGCCGAGCATTTGGCGAGAGAATGCTCAAGGCGGGATCGGGCCTCGGCGTCGGGGACGGCGAGGGATTCGGCGGCGGTTGTTTCGACGAACGTGGTGCATCCGGTGGACCTGCCGAAACCATATATATATATTGCGTGTAAAAATCACCCCCGAGAACGCGAGCGAGAAATGTACGTATATCGTCGATGCAATGGTTGATTCCGGATCGCCCGTTAGCCTGGTGCGGAGTGATGCGATCGCGTGCGATGCGCACCGGGAGGTGGGGAGCGAATATCCGTTTTGCGGGATAAACGGCTCGCGGTTAAGGATTGACGGTGTCTTTTCCGGAAGTCTCGAGGTCGGTGGCGTTGAAATCGCGATGAAATTCTATTCGGTGCCGAGGGAGACGAAGGCGTTTGATGTCCTTCTGGGGAGAGATTTTTTAAATTGTCCGCGGCTATGCGTAACTTTCGGTGATACGATTAAGATACCGGGTGTCGAAGAAAAGTGCGCTATTAGTTCGCTGATGCATATCGACTGCGGTGATGATTCGGTTCATTTGGGGAGCGAGTTGAAAATCGATCCCGCTGTCGGTGCAAGTGTGTCTGTGCGAATTAGCGAAGCGTATGGGTCGTGTTATCTGAAGAATTTGCGAGAGACGAAAGACATGCCCGATTTCGAGATGAATATCGCGCTCAAACATGAGCAACCGATAAGTTCGCGTCCGCGTAGATTGTCGTTTGCGGATAAGGAGATCTTGCGCAAGATTTTGGATGATCTCTTGAAGAGGGCGATCATTCGTCCGAGTAGCTCACCGTACGCCAGTCCGATCGTTATGGTAAGGAAGAAAGACGGTGGTTGCCGGTTGTGCGTGGACTACCGCGAATTAAATAAAATAACGATTCGAGATAATTTTCCCACGGAGTTGATCGACGATAATATCGATCGTCTACAGGGTAAGATGTATTTTTCGATCTTGGATTTAAGAGACGGGTTTCATCACGTAAGGATGCATGAGTCATCCACGAAGTATTTATTGTTATGTCCGCGATTTTCCGGCGCTCATTCGGCGGCGGGCGGACGCGTGTGCGATGGTTCCCCCTTTTTTTGTCGCTTTCTCGCGCGTTTGTTTTTCTCGCGCCCCCTTTTTCTTTCCCTCGAGAGCGAGCGCGGGAGACGGCTGGGGACGGTCGCGACTTGACGCGCGAGTTTTTCGATAGGTATGTATAGAAGTGTACGAGTGCACGAGGATGCGACTCGCGGGAGAAGGGAACGGGGATTCGCTCTTCGCGCAGGGCCGAGCGGATGCAGTGCGGGAAGGGCGATTCCGGGTAAGGGTGATACGTAAAGTCTCAACGTAGCCTGATTCGCGCGGCTTTATTGTTTCCCTCAGTATCAATCTTATTTTGGTAGTGAGGCTCTCTATGACGCGTACGACGGGCCCACGAGCCGGAGCCGGGGGAGCCGGACGACCAGCGGTGTCTTCAGCCCCGGCGACGGCCGAGTCAGCTCGCGGGAGAGGGACCCGTGGATTCACGGGTCGGGCGAATAATTCCCCGGCCGTTGGAAGCGGGGCGCGCGGGATCGGGGGCGAGAAGGTCCGCGCCTGTGGCGTGGTGCGAGAGCCGACTGGATCCCCAGGAGCCGTCCCGAGGAAAACGGACGGATCGAATGTCCCGTGCCTCGTATAGTCGCTGGCCAGTCTCTTAATTTGGACCTTCCTACCTCCGCTGCGAGAACGACGTGGCTTTCCCATGGCTGGACATGGCGAATGTTTATTTGAAGCAGCTTGGTCGCTGACGAAGAATACGCGGTATTTTACACGGTGTCACACGGAGGGAGGTACACGGAAGGCGGGACGACGGGGATCGGCGAGAAGACGGGACGGCGGGAAGGGAAGACGGCAAGAACGCTCGGGGAGCGCGCTCAAACCGCGTGCGGCGGCGGCTGGTGCGCTCCTGGCCCGGCCGACGGCGACGGTTAGCCGCGCTGGTCGGGGCACAGGAGCTCACGTGATAGTTCGAGATGGACTCCGGTCGACGCGGCCTGTGGCGCGATCCGGAAGGGTATAGGGTCTCGTGGAGGCTGGAGGCTCGCCGTGGGAATAAGGACGATCAGGGACACTTCACGGGGGCACAACACAATTTCCACAGCACGACACGTAGAGATTAGCCGCGGGTGTAGGCGCGAAATGATTGCAATTGTCTATTTAACACTGATAGAGAGTTTATTAGTAACTCGCACTGTCACTTATACTTATATCTTTTTGTGTCGAGATAATAAAGAGAACAAAGGAAGACTACGATTATCAGCGCCGAGTGAAGGAAAGGCGGCGGCTCTCGCGGTTCGACGGAGCCTGAGAGCAGAAGGCTGTGCAGGCCCCGGCGAAACCAAATCGTTCGCGCGGCTGAGTCGCGCGCGAGAGTGGGCTCACGGGACTAAGTCCGACGCCTTGGATCGGCGCTGCGGCTAAGTCCTAGTGTGAGCCGACCCTCGCGGCTAAGTTCCTTCGCGAGAATTCGCCCGAGCGACTAAGTCCGACGCCTTGTATCGGCGCTGCGGCTAAGTCCGTCGGAGGGCCAATTCCCGCGACTAAGTGCTTACTTGCGGAGTAGTGAGCGGTAAAGCTCAGAGGAGCGATCGCGAACGAGAGCTTTCTTCGCTCCGAAATCGCCTCTTATATACGAAAATTCGGTGGCCCCGCGCGGAAAGGGGGCACCGATCGCGGTTATGTGAGGGGGAAATCCTCGCCTAACGTTTCCAGTGGGATCCTCGTGGATTCCCACTAGAAACGTGTCCTTTCCGCGAATCATAATATTAACCGTGCCGCGCGCTCGGCGCGACCGACGGTTGCGCGCGTGCGAAACATCGGTCGCGGCGCGCGACAACGTCGCGTGGCATATCGGCTCGCGTTTGAATTGGCGTGATGTGGTCGCCAGTATCGCGGCTACGGCGATCTCTCGATCCCTTTTTTAACACCCTTTTAATAGTAGCCGCGATAATGGCGCACCGCATGCGGCGCGCGATAGCGCCCTGAGAAAAGAGAAAAGAAGAGAAGAGGTGAGAAATGCGCGAGGCAACGGTTCCGCGCATTTCGGTAGCGGCCTTGCAGCCGACGCGCTCGCGGAGCCGGGGCGCGCGAGGCGAGGCGCGACGCGCGGGCGGCGCGTAAACATGCCCGCTCGGCCGACGGCACGTGCGGCTCGCTTTCCAGGAATCCAGCTGTTCCTGGCGAAGCCGCGTCTCGTGCTCCGTAAAGTCGCCAGACGTAACAGTATACATCCTTCGTGACCCCGCTCGGGCAATTCGAGTATTTACGAATGCCGTTTGGTCTGGCGAACGCGCCGCGCGTTTTCCAGCGCTATGTACACACGGTTTTGGACCCGCTAATTAGAAGAAATAAAATATTAGTATACCTTATTAATTGCGACTAAAGATATAAATGAGCATATCGAGATTTTGTCCGAGGTTTTTGAGATCGCAGGAAAGAATAAATTGCAGTTTAGGCTTGATAAGTGCTACTTTGCCCGGACGGAGATAAAGTATCTGGGATATTGTGTGAATAGTCACGGTGTTCGGCCGAGCGACGAAAATATTGAATCTGTTGTTAACTATCCGATACCGCGAAATGTTAGAGAGATGCAGCGATTCATCGGGCTCGAGTTATTTCCACCGGTTTGTTCCGAGTTTCTCCGTGATAGCGAAACCGTTATATGACGTAATAAGGAAGAACGCGACCTACAAGTTCGGGGCTGTTGAGAATTCTGTATTTGAGACGCTTAAGCGACGGCTGTCGAGTAAACCCGTGCTGGCGATTTACTCCCCGCGTGCGGAGATGGAACTGCATTGCGATGCGAGCGCGAGCGGATTTGGTGGAATATTGCTCCAGCGACAGACAGATAGTGCGTGGCGCCCGATCTCTTTTTGGAGTCAGCGTACCACCCCTGCTGAGTCGAAGTATTATAGCTTCGAGCTCGAGTGTCTTGCTGCCGTGTACGCGCTAAAAAGATTTCATGTGTATCTTGCGGGGCGAAAGTTTAAAATTATAACGGATTGTGACAGCTTCCGGCTGACTTTAAATAAGAAAGATGTTAATCCTCGAATCTCGCGCTGGGCTCTGATGTTGCAGAACTATGACTATGAAATAGTTCACCGTCCCGGAAAGCGAATGGGTCATGTGGATGCGCTCAGTCGTTGCCATAGTGTGCTCGTGCTCGAGGGTAGTACGCTAGAAAGAACTCTATCCGTTTGTCAGGATCGCGATGATGAGGTCCGGAGAATACGCGACGGGCTCGAGAAGGGCGACGTAAAATATTACGAGTTGCGAGACGGAATAGTCTACCGAAAGGAGAAAAATAAGAAACTATTGTTCTATGTTCCGCGTCCGATGGAGTCAAACGTGATTCGAACGTGTCACGACGACCTAGGTCACGTAGGGGTCGACAATGTTATCGAGAACATTGCGAGGGTCTAGTGGTTTCCTCAAATGCGGGCGAAGGTGCGTGAGTATATAAATAATTGTCTTAGGTGTATCGAGTTCTCTCCGCCGAGCGGTAAAGCGGAAGGATATTTGCATGGCATACCGAAGGAAAATGTACCGTTTGCGACTATACATCTTGACCATATAGGCCCGCTAGAGAAAACGGGAAAGGGCTATCGGCACTTGTTGGTGATCATCGACGCATTCACCAAATTTATCAGGTTGTATCCATGTAAATCTACGACGACGGAAGAAACGATAAAGCATTTGGGCGATTATGTTCGCGCGTATAGTAGACCGAGGCGTTTGATATCCGATCGTGGTACATGCTTCACCTCTGAAGTGTTTGAAGAATTTGTAAGATCCGAAACAATAGAGCATGTCCTGGTAGCCGTAAGCACGCCCAGGGCGAATGGGCAAGTCGAGCGATACAATAGAATGATCACTCCTATGCTTGCGAAGTTGTGTGAGGCACCGTCTAGGTGGGACCGCGTGCTAGACAAGATCGAATTTTCGATAAATAACACTGTGTGTCGCGTGACCGGCGAGACCCCGACGCGTTTGTTATTTGGTATCGAACAGCGAGGTCACGCGAACGACTCGCTTCGAGAAATAATCGAAAGAAATGTTAATGTCGAGCGAAATTTGGACGCACTCAGAGAAAAGGCGAGCAGAAAACTTAACGAGGAGCAACGCAAAGGCACCGAACGTTATAATTTAAGAAGAAAGGCGGCGCGTAAATACACAGTTGGCGAGTATGTCGAGATCCGTAACGTCGAAACAGCGGCTGGAATTAATAAAAAATTGATACCGAAGTACAAAGGCCCTTATGTGATAAAGAAAGTTTTGGATCACGATCGTTACGTGGTGGTCGACATTGAAGGCTTTCAATTGACACAGCGACCGTATATGGGAGTATTAGCGCCGGACCAGATGTGTCCTTACATACATTCTTAAGCAGTGCAAATTTTATTGTAATTTAATAAGTGTGTTAGTTTTAAAGATAACGATTCACCGGGTCGGTCAAATAATCAGAATGGCCGAGCTGTAGGCGTTTTATATAATTTCGTTAGAAGACGTTCGTTGTTTTGCGTTACTAATTCCAAACCGACACGGAACGGTGTTTGCCCGCGATAATGTTTAGATGATCGGCTGTGTTCGTCTTTCGGCTTTTGACCGAATGTGTTTAGACCGAACGATCGTTATATTCTCGAGAACACTAAAGGTCGGAGCGGGTTGGGGAGAGTCGGTGTGTTCAACACTATCCCCAATTTGTAAGTGATTCGGATTGGCTCCTCATCGAGGAGTAGGAGAAACAAGAAAAGGAATATAGAGAGCAGGATCAGGGAGGATATCAGAGTCGTCTTCCCGCGCGTCTAAAAGATTGTAACATAGATATAATTCCCGACCGACTGTCCTGACAAAGTGAATAAATATATTTCACAGAGCGAACATTTCATAATTTATTGTGGAATCGAAAAGAATCCCCCACAACTAATTAAATTAAAATTGACCGTCTCAAAGTTGTAAAAGAAATTGTTAAAGTTTACTCTGTTACACGAAATATTACGTGCAAAACACGTTAAAAATATTATTACATGTAACAATATAATTCGTTGTGATATTATTACATGTCAAATATTATTTACACATATTATTATGTTTTAGAATATTAATATTTGCGTTTGCAAACGCAAATGGTGGCACATTTTATTTTTTTAAAGCTTAACGATGAGTTTAGTAAAATAGAACGAAAAACTGGAAAAAAATCAAAATTATTGACCGTTTCGTTTAAACAATATAAACAGTTAAAACTGAAAAATGGGAAGAATTATGTAGTAGACACGAGTGTAGCGTAAGAGATGTGGCAACAGCACCTCAAACTACAATCTTTCGAATGTATTTTATATAGGGTGAGGCATTTAAAACTGTTTTTCAGAATATTTGGAAAAATACGAATCGGATTAAAAAAAGTTGCAATAAAAGTTGTTCACCTTGAAGAGGGTCATCCATTAACACAAAGCTCGACCCCCCTGCACCACCCCCGGGGGCGGGAGGGGGGTGACTTTGAAATCTTAAATAGAAACCCCTATTTTTTATTGCAGATTTGGATTCTCCGTGAAAAAATATGTAACTTTTGTATGAGACATTTTTTTCGTTTCATGATAGATGGCGCTGTAATCGGCAAAAATGAAAATGAGTTGAAAATTGTTGAAAAATGGTAATATCTCAAAAAAATACACATCAGATTAGGAACATCAAAGTAAATTTTTTGATATTTTTGAAAATGCTATCATGTGACACCGTCTACCCTCCTGCAATGCATTCTTAGACTACTTTTAGCTTTACCCAGGAACAACGACGTGGACGTAGTAGTAATTTGTTCCCTTCGGGGTTGTTTGATTTTGGTGAGTCCCCTTGCCTCTCACTATCTCGGGGTGCTTGATTACTGTGAGTCCCCTTACCTCTCACTATTCGGGGTGCTTGATTACTGTGAGTCCCCTTACCTCTCACTATCTCGGGGTGCTTGATTATTGTGAGTCCCCCTGCCTCTGACTATCTCGGGGTGCTTGATTACTGTGAGTCCCCTTGCCTCTCACTATCTCGGGGTGCTTGATTACTCTGAGTCCCCTTGCCTCTCACAAGTGTTTCATTGAAGCAAATGTTCGAAATGATGTCCGTTGTTTCTAATGCACATTGCAACTCTGTGTCAGAAAGACGATCCGACATTTATAAGTGTCTCTGCGCTAATGTTTGCGCATTCATTGATAATTCGCTGCTGCATATTTTCTGGGGTTGTTGGTACATCCATGTAAACTCTCTCTTTTAGCCTTCCCCACAGGAAAAGATCGGCAGAAGTCAAATCGGGTGAACGTGCGGGCCAATTTTGAGGACTTCCTCGTCGAATCCATCGACCCGGATAGTTTCGATTCAAAACTTCTTGAGATATTCGTGAATAATGCGCTGGGCATCCATCGTGTTGAAACCACATATCCATTCTTGTTTGAAGTGGAACATCTTCCATTAGTATGGGTAAAACATTATCTAAAAAGTCGCTGTACATTTGACCATTCAGATTACCTTCTATGAAGTATGGGCCAATTACCTGAGTACCTAAAATACCGCACCAAACGTTGACACTCCACGGGCGTTGATGTTCAACTTGCCTTAACCAATGGGGATTCTCCACTGACCAATAATGCATATTATGGCGATTCACTTGACCACGATTCGTAAAATTTGATTCATCAGAGAAAAGTATCTGTGAAATGAAATTATCATTGACTGCCAGATGTTCCTGTATCCAGTTGCAAAAATTCAAGCGATTTTGAAAATCGTCACCATGCAGTTCTTGATGCAGCGATAAATGAAATGGATGAAATTTGTGTTCATGCAGTAAGCGTAGAACACTTCTTTGAGAAATTCCTGAACCTCGCGTAATTTGCCTAGAACTAATGTGAGGATTTGCAGCAACTGCAGCTAAAACATTCACTGTGTTATTTTCGTTTGTCACAGGCCGCGGTCGGACTCTTTCTCTAGGTTTAACACTTCCAGTTTCAGTAAACAGTTGGACAATACTGCGAAAAGTCGTTGCAGAAGGAACATTCCTATCAGGGAACAGATTAGCATACCTTTGACGAGCTTCTTCAACATTTCTATGAGCCTCAAAGTACGAGGAAATGATATCTTCTCTCTCTACAATCGTTAACATCGTGGAACAATTGAGAAGAGACGTTTACAGTCCGAATCATTGAAGTAAAATGAACAGTCTGACCACTTTGCTTTTCGAACATTTGCTTCAATGAAACACTTGTGAGAGGCAAGGGGACTCACAGTAATCAAGCACCCCGAAGAGAACAAATTACTACTACGTCTACGTCGTTGTTCCTGGGTAAAGCTAAAAGTAGTCTAAGAATGCATTGCAGGAGGGTAGACGGTGTCACATGATAGCATTTTCAAAAATATCGAAAAATTTACTTTGATTTTCCTAATCTGAAGTGTATTTTTTTGAGATATTACCATTTTTCAACAATTTTCAACTCATTTTTATTTTTACCGATTACAGCGCCATCTATCAGGAAACGAAAAAAATGTCTCATACAAAAGTTACATATTTTTGCACGGAGAATCCAAATCTGCAATAAAAAATAGGGGTTTCTATTTAAGATTTCAAAGTCACCCGCCCCTCCCGCCCCCGGGGGTGGTGCAGGGGGTCGAGCTTTATGTTAATGGATGACCTTCTTCGAGGTAAACAACTTTTATTGCAACTTTTTTTAAATCCGATTTGTATTTTTCCAAATATTCTGAAAAACAGTTTTAAATGCTTCACCCTGTATAAATATCCATTGTTATATTTGGCGTAATTTGTTGATGATATCATTACTTTTGTGGAGAAGATAGCTTTGTAGAGAAGATACTTTTGTAGAGAAGATTTTTGTAGAGACAATATTTTTGAAAAGGTATTTTTGGATTGTCTAAATCGCGGGCAACGGGCGTCCGCGGGCGCCCAGCCGGCGGGCATGCCCCCACTTCAATCATCGCCCCACCACGTTTAAAACTATTTAGTTGGTGCCATTTGATGATATCATTACTTTTGTAGAGAAGATAGTTTTGTAGTGAAGATATTTTTGTAGAGATGCAAAAAAGATAAAGTACAAAATATATTCGGTCGTTGGAGCTTATACTTGGTGCTTTTTTACCTTTTTTAAAAAGGTAAGTTTTTTAGGTAAGATATACAAGTTGGGCTACCTACATCTTGCCTTGTGACCTACATTGGCGTGTTCTCATATGTTTTTTAGTCTTGATTATAGTTGCAGAATGGAAAACAACTATAAGAAGATCAAGAATTAATATTTCTATTTTGCAGCCAATCAATACGTTCAAAAAATTATAATATATCATATAATAAATGTGTAAATTAGCGTATAGCTGTGTAAATTAGCTCCGTTAAATTGTTTTATAGCGCTTATGCGTATTTAACATCAAAATCTATCATTTTCATTCAAATCGACATCAAAATGATGTTAAATGCATCAAAAGACATCGATTTGATCATTATTTCTCACTGCGTCAATAGAAGTTTATCTATAGGTCTATTAGATGTCTATTAGATGTCGAGAAGTAACTTGCAGTTTAAAAAGAATTTTTCATTAATAATTTACCACTATTGTGTACATTGTGTATGAAAAAACACAAATAACACAAAATCACATTGCATCTAATTTAAATATTTCTAGACATTATTTTAGACTAGACTGCTCCGATGTCTGATAGATGTCTATCCGATCTTACATTTCTCCCTGGGTAATTAAGAAATTACGTTACTATACATATCCATGTAAAAATGTTGGGAGTCACTGACAGATTAATAAGCGTTATATGTATGTTTGAAAGACGCGCCATAGTGGTCATACCTTGCGGCGTCTGTCGCCACTTATTGCTTGGCGCGTCTCCATGGTTTGTGCCCTTCTTGTTGTTTCTTTCTTCTTATCGCCTCGAGCAGTTCTTTCCGTTCCTTTCGAGCAAGAAGGCCACTTTTTGTACTACTCAACAAATATATCATTTTTGGTTCACTCTAAATATTGTGGGCTATAGTTATTCGGTATATCCTTCGTTCTGCGTATTGCAACAGGTTATGGGCCCAGGCCCTTGAAGAATCGAAGGTGTACGGATCGAAAACTAGGAGAGTCGAAGTTTTGTTGAGGTTAGATAGAAAGTTCTAGAACAAGATAGAACGTGAAAGGAACGAAAATGGAAAGCTCGAATCAGACCGTAATTAAGTTCACGGGTGAAAACTGGATTACGTGGAAGTTCTAGGTAATAATCGTTTTGAGATCGAAAAATGTATACGACGTTGTGACTGGAATAAAGAAACGGCCGGAAGAAACGCACGAAGAATGGGATAAGCTGGACGTGAAGGCTCAAGAAATAATTGTCACGAGAATGGAAGAAGGTCCGCTGGTGCATTTGCTGTCGTGTCGTACGTCCCATGTGATGTGGGAGAAATTACTCTCGGTCTATGAGAAGAAATCTAAAGTAAGCGTTCATTTGCTACAACAAAAGTTTTTTTACGCTGGAGAACAAAGGGGAGTGTGTTTCAGTATTCATTTCTCGACTGGAGAAAATAAGGAGTCAGTTGAAACAGTTGGGGGAGGACATATCTGAGAGTATGTTTATTACGAAAGTATTGATGTCGCTTCCAGAAAAGCTGAAACATTTTGTATCTGCCTGGGAGTCTACTGCGGCTGATTCTCAAACACTGCAAGAACTTACTTCAAGACTCTTAATTGAAGAAGAAAGGACAAACTCAAATGAAAAGGTAACAGCCCTGGCGAGCAGCTCGGACAGCGGTAGGAAAAAACAAAGCGGAAATCGAGCCATGAAATGTTTTGTGTGTA